GGAAAACTCCCTGCCCGGGGGGCGGGTGTGTGTGTTATTTTAATGATAGAGGGCTGTTAAGGCAAATCATAGTAAATATCAAGATGATGATGATGATGATGATGATGATGATGATGATGATGATGATTTGTTCGCTACTACTTTTGTTGGAACAGCAGTAATTTGTATTAATGGCCACTGAAACAGATCATGTTTCCAATGGCAGTAATTAGATCCGCAAGTATAATTAGTATAAAAAAGCCACAACTACATTCCTGCCAGAAATTGTTAAAAGCTAAGGTATCAAACCTGCTATATGATGCACAGTTCAGCACCTATATAAATATAACTTCCTTTGAAATATTCAGTCTACATTCCACATTTCCCATTCCATTGCAAAGATTTTCCTTCTCCTAGAATTTGGCTGTGCCATTGTAGAGATCTGTATTAGATTCTGCCATTGGAAGTAAAAGTTGGGAAAACAAACAAAGAAACTGGTGTGTATGTGTGAATCTCTGGTTTAGATTATCCTGGTAAATTCATATATCACATTCTGCCTTCTGATCTGGCCACTATGGACTACCAACTCACTCCCTACTTAAATTGTACCCAGCAAAAATTATGGGTGATGTTAAGCAGAAAGTGCTTGGTTTACATATCCAAAAACAATTCTCAGAGGCCTTGATGACGTCTTCTTATACCATCCCTAAATAGTTTTACAGTGCTGTCTCTGCTCAATATAGAAGGGTTATGTATGTTTTGTATGGTTTCTGCTCTTTTTTAAACTGCTTTCAAGTTCCTTGCTTTGATTTCCATGTGTTGACCGTACACAATAAATCAAGTAATGGCTGCCAACTGGCAGCTGCCATTCCCACACCCATAAATACCTCAATAACAAATGCAGTGTTCATCAAAAGAAAACTGGAACAGACCAATGATACATCCAGTGATGTGACCACTCTCCTCTCAAAGCCACTATTGAATAATTAATTCTTTTTTTTTCCTTCAGAAAAGAAGGAAAAATGATGGTAGATAATTAGAGGCCCTGGGAGACAGGGGGAAAAGTTTGAAATACATTTACAGTTCCTTTAATATGTGTATATCTCTGTATGTCTCTGTATGTATAAGAGAGCCAGTATGGTATAGTAGTTAAGGTGTTGGATTATGAGTAGGGACCCCCAAGTTCCAGTCTGATCTTCACCATGGAAGCTGACTTAGGGCCAGTTATTTTATCTCATTGCTAGACTGGGAAGAGAAAAAAATATATATCTACCAACCCCCTAAACACACTCATAAATACATAATGCTCATTTTGCTATTTACAGAAATGGTGCTGGATTTTGGCACTTTGATTCATCTCTAGATTTTCCTTCAACTTCATATGGACAGAATGGCTTTTATTCAGATCAAGTCCTTCCTCTGAGAGAGAGAGACAAAGGGTGATACTCATAGGTGGGGCAAAATTTAAATGTAACAAAACATTCCCTCGGATACCAAAGTTTCACTTCTCAGCTGTAAATTGCATGCATTATGTCCTGCAGAGGATCATGGGACCTGATTAATATTTTTCACAAATAAGAACCATCCATCAATCATGCATAACCAAAAAGAAATTATGATGGAGGTTTTCATTCTGAAAGGAAATCTCCATTGCCATTTCAGCAAGTAGTACCACCCAATCAACCTTGTTTGGTTTTAAAGCTAAGCAGAAATAAAGCTAATGTGTTTAGGAAATCACTAGGGAACTGGAGACTACAATGAAATGTTGAAGAAACATTCTCAAAAAAGCAACTTCTCTTCTGTTGTCAAGAAAATTGCATGAATGTGTTCATCTTAGCTTGAAGACATCTTTCACCCTTTATTACCTATTCCCTTATCCATGAAACAAATATGGTTCTTCAAGGAAGAGAAACAATGACATAAGGAGGGGGGTGAGAAAAAAAATCTGATAGTCTCATAACTGAATACATTACAAACGTATTTTCAAAGGATTTTTAGGGAGAGGGAGGTGATATTTAGTAACAACATTTTCCAAGTCAAAATCAAGTGATTAACATTACTTAATTAACATAGCCAGAGGAAACCAGTTCATTCTAAGTTTTGTCCAGGTATTATTGTATAAATGCAGAAAAATCAAATATTTCTATCTTTTTCCCAAAGAGAAGAAGGAATATTTTAACTTCTACTTGAGGATCTATCTTTGTTAGAGGTGTCTTGAAAGTTCTTACACTGGATTCCTCCTGGCTCTTTTACTAAAGAAGCAGCTGGTAATAGGAACTGAAAGTGCATTTGAAGAAACAAGATAGAACTCCTAGTATGTTTGAATGCTTTCACTTAGATACACAATGCTGTCAGGTTTAGTTACAAGTTGGGTAAAAGAGGCAAAAGGAAAACAGTGAAAGTTCTCTTGCTAAGTTCTTCTACATAAATCAAAGAAAAGTCCATGAATTGGATCAGCATGAGTCATTAATTTGACGTGCTTTTATTAGCCACGGTAACAATAGCTTCATCCTGCTTCTAAGGCAGACATGAGGCAAAACAATTTTTATAAAATACTAAACTGTTGCTGAGGCAACAGTTACGGATTCTTTCTTCAAAATAGGACAAATATGTGAATACATTTGCTGCATTGCAACTACTGTGCTCAGCATTCTGTCTCCTGTTATAAGTTTTATTATTTTTTTTCCTCGGGTTTCTTTTGACATATAAGTGCTTTTTCAATAAGGCAGTAAGATGCATAATGTATTACACTGAATTACACTGAGATCTTTCTTGCTTGCTTGCTTTTTCCTTCCTTCCTTCCTTCCTTCCTTCCTTCCTTCCTTCCTTCCTTCCTTCCTTCCTTCTTTGTAAAGTTTACCTGTTGTTTGAAATATAATTTCTAATAATATCTTTTGCTGTGTTCAGAGGATTATCTGAGCCAATATCCATCAAAATATCCATAAGCACTATACAATTCTCCCAAGGTTTCTTAATTGTTTAAAACAACAACAACAACAACTGCTGAATATTACTACAGGTAAAACTATAATTTAATCTTTGTGATTAACCTTATATTAACCTAATGAAATTTTCTTTTTCTTTTTAAGTGAAATGTCCTAGCATTCAAAACAACATCAAAAATTACTCATCATACTTACATCTGAGTTACTCACTATAGGACAATACCAGTTCATCCAATCTATGCACTTAAAAAAAAAAAAGCAAATTATGTGTGTTTCTAAACAAAGGATTTTATTCCCTTGGGAAAAGGTTACTCGGTCCTAATTCAAGTAATTATACACATTTTAAAAACATTGCTGGGATCCATCCTCTGCTAGGTAGAAGCACCCAGCCAAATTCAGTTGATTCTGAAAAGGTCTAATGTCATATCTAATTATGATTTTTATGAGAGAAGCCAAGAAATACCAGGGCTGGAGTCCAAGCTGGGATCCATCCATCCAACATTTATTTTTCTATCCATTCAGAAAATAAGAATGCAGTTTAAATTTAGGAGTCAAGAAAGAAAGAGAAGTACATCACTTTTTAGAGCAGAGAAGAATGGGTTCTCTCCTGGTTTCTTTGTGGAACAGAAACAATGCTTGCTTTTTGTGATGATATGCACTATGCCACTCTGACTTTCTTAAATCCTATGAAATCCACTTAAGCTGCTGAATGAATCAGGACACTATGTATTTCTCTGAACTGTCCAATATTGCTGCATACCATTTTCTGCACTGCAGTAGAACTGCGGTTCTGAAAGCTCAGATTTGCCATAAAGGTTCATTGGGAAGATTTATGGGCCCTTGGTGCACTGCAAGGACCTTTCTTAAAATTCAATACTAAGACAAGAAAAGAGAACCAAAAAAACAAAAAAAAAAACTTTCAAAACCTGAACAAACAACAACCATCACTGCTATCTAGAGGGGAAAATGTTTTCTTCTAGCTTAACCTAGTTCCTGTGCCCCATTGTAGCATTATGTTCCTTGTATGTGCTTCAAAATATACATAGGAAGCTTCTACATTTTAAGAAACTACATATTAATTTTAAAATCAGCCATAAACCTAGATGAAGAAAAAAAAAACCTGTGTAATTACTTCTAGGTGTATTTCTTCCCCAACTTTTGATTGTAAAAAGGCAAACAATTAATTCTAAAGAAAACCCACAGCAGACAGTCTTGATCTAAATCATATTTCTCTTTTTTCTTTATAATGCATTATAATTATTTCTTCCCCAACTTTTGATTGTAAAAAGGCAAACAATTAATTCTAAAGAAAACCCACAGCAGACAGTCTTGATCTAAATCATATTTCTCTTTTTTCTTTATAATGCATTATAATTATTTCTTCCCCAACTTTTGATTGTAAAAAGGCAAACAATTAATTCTATAGAGAAACCACAGCAGACAGTCTTGATCTAAATCATATTTCTCTTTTTTCTTTATAATGCATTATAATTTTAACCTGAGGCCTATGTTTTTCCTGCATTTTCATCCTTAAATGTCATGGGAGTATGCAATGGTGAGAAAACAGGGCTGAAATAGACCAAACAACCACGTTGTTTTATGAAGCAAACAACCACTATTTATGAAGCAAAGTAGATTAACCATTCAGTTAATTTAATGCCACAAAGTTAACTCTCAGCCATAGCAATATCTTTACATAGAAATCAAATGTGCTTGATTACTGAATTATACTTTTTATTGCAATTCTTCCAGATAAATATACTTCTATTGGCTGAAATTGGATGGTGAGAAATGTAATCTGTAGTCCTAATAACACCTATGAATGGTGAATGTGCCTCACTACCTTTCCTCTTTTAAACTGGGTTAGTGGGATCAGGCCAATACTAGACAAAGAAGGTAAATTTGATTCTACACATGTATGTTCTGTACTGTTCTGTACATTCCAAGGCCAGGCAAGCTTTTCAGGATAATTTGTAAGAACACAGGATAATTTCTCTTTATGTTTTTACATATATACAGGTCATATCCCCAAAAATCTACATCAAGTTCTTTTAAGCTGGTTTTGCTCCCTTCTACATTACATTTGGAAAATATTGTTTTCATTCTACAGCAAGATACACTCTGTAAAACAAGGGCAGCTCCAAGGAGAAGGATTTTACAAGAATATCAAAAGAAAAACTCTAGCATTATAAAACAATGATATGCCTAAAATGTTAGGTGACATCTTACCCTGTTTTGGCAAAGTTTGTCCAATACGTCATAACAACCGCGCTAAGCATGACATCGTTCTTTGAAAAGTTGCAGTTGAATAATTCAGTAGGACCGATCATGGGTATACCAAACACATAAGGGACTTCATCACCATGTGCAGAATCAGCCCAGCTGGGTTTCATTTCACTTTGGCAATGGTGATAAAATGCATAGAAGTATGTCGGAGATCCATATTGAGCATGGAGGTCTGCTGTGGCAACGGCTGGTGCAACCCATTGGTGATCAGTAAAAAGTGCTACCAGGGTCTTCCTTCGTGTTTCAGGATTCTCCTTGTCTGCCCAATCTGTATACATGAACTTAATGGTTTCTCTTAGAGTATCTTTCCCTTCTGGATAACCATACAGATTGTCCACAAAATTAGATACGGAGAAATCAAAATCATTTGGAGATATGCCTTCTTCATTATCCACAATTCCATCTACAAATTTTAAACCTTCTCCTTGGTTTACACCTAGCATTATATCATAGTTGAGAAATTCTCCCTGTTCCATTAGAATCTGTGGATCGTCTGGAATTACATCCCCATCAATGACAGGCCCAAAGGCAATGTGGTATGTAGCTGGCGTGATTGTTTGCTGAATGAGTTCTTTGTAGTTCTTATTCCGAAAGCATTCAACTAAGTCTGTAGTGTCCAAAGTGTTGCAGCCCACTTTTTCTGCCAAAATTGCAGTGTACTTGGCAGGCTGGTAATTCACTGCCCAGCTGGACAGGGCTGTTCCACTTTGTATGATTGCTTTTTGGAACAGACCTGCAGGTGCAAAAGTGGAAATTAAAATACACAAACAAAAACATTGACAAAACAAAATAATATGTATATGGTATCTAGAAGAAGCACTGATTAAGAGAAAACATAGTTCTGTTTGCTTAGAACAACAACAACAACAAAATGTTATTGTATCCCTCTTGCCAAATGCTAGCGACATTTCTTGTCATTCTCAATGTTCATAATATGGAACACAAAAAATCCAATGTGAGTATCTAGGAGGTGAAAATATTTCTCAAATATACAGTACATTGAAATAATAGATTCTAATTTTCTCTGAATCCATCAATGGGGCCGAATGGTATTGTCTCTTCCTAACACAGACACATAAAGACAATGCAAATTATATTGCAAAATCAAATAACATCAGAAAAGTAGCTTGGGATCTCCAAATCCCATGGAAATGTTTTGAAGTAGTTTCAAAAAAAGATTCTAATTTTTTTGTTTTAAAGGAGCAAGCTAGAGACACTCCCAGCATATCAAAATTACCATATATTATTAAAGTTAATTAGTAATTTTAATGATTGGGAAAGAGATTTTTTAGGGTGCTATGGGAAATTATGTATACTATTGCTGATTAAAAATGTCTCCAGGTAACTATGTAATCAATCAGTGTTCTTGCTTTGTAACACATATCCAGAAAGATCCAGTTATTAAAAAAAAAAAAAAATGGCCATGTTCAGCTCAAGTGTGTCGACAGTAACTTTTATCTAGCACCATTAACTTCTTTCTTTTAACAAACCTGTAATGCTTTTGACATTTGTATCTGGGCTTTGCTCAGCTTGACCAAATCTCTTATGGATAAGCTACTTCAACACAGAGAATTGATTTGACAACTAAGTCTGAAGATTTCGTTTGAAAGGGTGATTCCATCAAATCACCTTCAAATAGAATCATTATTTCAATAGAATATTGTGCAGTCTAGCACAAATTTATATATTCTTTTTTTCTTTTGCTACATGCATAGTTGACCAACCTAATTATGGCAAAGGATTTTTGGATGCTGTACTTTTTAAAATGGAACTGTTCTCTACGACAAGTTACTCAGGTGAGTAAGTAATCATGAAAATCTATGAGTCTGATTCGTCTATTGATTTAACATTACATAAAAGCCATCTGTGTTTATTTTAAAAACTAAAAATCTAGTACAATTGATATGATACTGATTCTTGGAATATCGATATCATACTAATTTCTGGGACCAGTTTCTACTTTTTTTGCAATCCATTCTTATTTTATAACTATTGAAATGGTTTTATTTAGCAAGGAGAATAGTTACCTTCTGAATAATGAGATAATGTCAACAGACTGACACAAGATGCTCCTGCTCCTGATCCAAAAATAGTAACTCTTTTTGGGTCTCCTCCAAATGATCCAATATTTTCTTCAATCCATCTTAAAGCTTGAATTTGGTCAAGCAATCCATAATTGCCTTTTGCTGCTTGGTCTCCAGTACTCAGGAAACCTACAAATTAAAAAGAAAGAGAAAAAAGGAAGGAAAGGATAAATTTAATTCACTGGTCAAGGAATTAGGCATAGGGCATACATATAACATATCTTTTCGCCTTCCTTTTTCTGCTTTTCAGAAGGTCATAGTTCTACTTAAATATAATTAATACAAACTTTAAAGACCTAATTATTTTTTCAGCCATAGAAACATGCATACATTGTGGCAATTCTTGTTTCTTTTTCATTTATTCTTTTATAGCAATTAAAATATTAAGAACAGGTTCTATTTTTTTTTTAATATGCTGATTGAATATCAATGACCTTTTAAAGGGCTTAAAATGTGTTACCAATAGAGGGGAATATGTGTTTCCATCTAAGAGTTCTAAGGCATGCATATATGTACAGTAAAGATAAAAATATTGGATTATTTTCTTAAGCTAAATTCAGAATTTCCTTGTTCATGGCAGACACGGATAATGCTTAAGTTGTACACATCAAATATAAGATATGAATGAGGAAATCACATCTTTGTATGTATGCTAACTGGAAGGCCAGAACTGGTAAAATATGTAAAGAAAAATAAAATCCAAATTTGTTGCACTATTTTTTGTAAGTCTATTTAGGAAAGGTTGTTGAGGAGGTGGCGATGAAGTCCTTTCCCAACAGTATTCAGGCCTGGATATCGGACTTAAACTGCATTGGTTATTCTTATTAGTAACTTCTGGTAGGGCCAAGATAGAGGTAATGGGAGTCTCCTCGTCCTGCCTGATCTCTCAACAGCCTTTAGCTGCATGGACCATGGTATCCTTCTGGGTTGGGAGTAAGGACCACTTTTTGCAATGTTTTTTCTCCTTCCTGGGTAATGAGTTCCAATTAGTGGTAGTGGCAAGGAAGATATTGAGGCCTAGGGAGTTCCATTTAAGATGCCACAGGCACGGTACTCTTTCCCCATCTAACTACTACAAGGAGCTTTTGGGAACTGACAACTGCTGGGATGGAGTGAGGTATTGTCAGCATGGTCTGGGCAAGAGAAGCATTGGAGGACCTGTTCCAGTGCCTGGAGGTTGTAGGGTCCAGATGGGGAGAAACAAGCTTAGACTTAAGAAAGAGTAAATTTGCATGGCGACTATTTCCAGAGGTAGTTCATCTTTGGCATTAAATGAAGTTATGCTTCCTCACGTCGAGCTGGATTACCATCTGGTGTTCCCCTGGACACTCAGTTTCTGCAGGAACAGCAGATAGAGATTATGGCCAGGAGGACCTTTGCACAGTTACATTTTGTACCAGTTGTGACTATTTCTGGAATAGAAAACTTTCCTCTTGGTTACTCATGATCTTGTCACTGAACAGCTGGACCACTGCAATTTGCTCATTGTGGCTCTGCCCTTGAAAACCATATGGAAGCTTCTGCTGGCTCAGCACACAGCAGCCTGAGTAATAATAGGAGTACTTGGATCCACAGATGTAACTCCAGTTAACAACAAAGAAGCCTGTACTGGCTACCATCTGAGTGAAAGCCATCTAAGGGGATTCTACACTCAAACCTTCTTTGTGAAGGCCTTCTGCCTCTGGAACAGTAAACCCCCAGATATTATATTTTTGAAAAGCCATGGAAACATAGTACTTTAGAGAGGTATTGGGGAGACTTGAACATTTTGTTGCCTGCTTGGTGACACCTTATTCTTCTTATGGTTATGTTACTGATTTCTCATGTTTTCATTTTATGTTGTTAAGCGTAGCCTGGTCCAAGTCTTTAAAAGCATGGCAAGCACCTACTGACAACATGGATGTGAAAATAGCTGCTAGGAATAATAATTCACAAGTTCATTGGATTCTCCATCCTCTTCAAAAATGCACAAACATAGCAATTATTTATGGATTTACTAAGAGTTAAATCCTGATGAGTAGACCTGCATAGCACTGAAGTTAATTCAACAGGACAAAGAATCTTTTTTGAACAGGAATGTAAGTGAATCTAGCTTTTTTACTTTGGGCAGTGAGACCTGAGAGAATCTATAATAACACATCTAGAAGCTTTTTTTTTTTTTTTTGGTTGGGGGGAGATGCATAAAAGCTGTCTGGATTCGCATCATCCCAATCCCATTTACACTTTTATCTTATTATCAGATTTTGAAAATGGAAATGAGGCATGTTTGCAGGTGGCCTTGTAATTCAGAAAGCTGTCAAATACCTAAGCTTCAGATTTGCCTTGTTTTGCTGAAAGCAATTCACTTGGAACAGTTTGAATTCCACAGTATATAGCTCTCTAAGTCCCAACTTATCATTTTTATTATCAAATCCTCAAGTCTGATTTTTTAAAACTTTTTTTGTTTTTTTTTACTTCACAGGCATTATTTCTACAAGTCCTTTCAGAACTGTTGCACTTATGCAAAATGCAATATAACTGATGGAAAATTCAGACTTCATCACTCCCACTTGAAACACTTGTAGGCACCAAGCACTTCTAAGTTGAGAAGGTGTCAGCCATTAGCATTTGTAAATTATCATAACAGTAAATGTAGAGCAAGCTGTCAACTAGAAGCTAAAGGGATTTTTGAGAGCTTTCTGTTCCCCAGAAATATTTTAATATTATGATAATGATCATCACCATCGACAATATCCTAGAATGCAAGTAATATCTTGAATTTTAACCATAGTATTCATAGTAATACAAGTTAACAGAAATAGTAAAAAAGAAAAGAAATAAATGAATAGAATAACATTTGAATACAAAGGAATTAATGACAAACCTCCAGTTTTATGCAAGTAAGACTATTCATTTAATACCATATTAATCTGTCTCAGATTGCCTTCTGTCTGGCTGCTGGTATCAACCCCAAACAATTTACATAGCACTACCTTATGTGAGCTACAAAAATCCACTAATAGCAAAGAGAATTCTCTGAGAGTCCTACGTTTTGCTGCAGAATTGGAACATAAATACAACTTCTGTGTTATGTTCTCAGGAGCTACGGAATGGCTATACGTACTAGGACCAACATTAAAAAAATGTCTATGATATAGTAAAGCCTGTCTATCTGCTGCTGCCGCTATTTTCTAATAAAAGTCAGTATATAAAATATATTATAAATAAAAGTATACTCATATTCCAGACATTTTCCCAAAACAGAACAAAACACAAAAAAACCACACCAAACAAAAATTACGGTTTATTTTTTCAAATACCCTTTTTCATTTTTGCAACATGCCAGAAATGAGGAATACCATCTTCTAACCAGATCTGTTTTTTTCCCCAGATTTTTATCTTAAATGTCTTCACTCTTAAACATCTAACTCAGAATAAGTGCTAATAGGTATTGTTCAGGTTACTAAAAAAATAATGCTGAAAAGTTTTCTACTGGGTACAGCTGACCCTGACGTTAGATAAACTGGATTTTTTCTGTATTTTTTTGTTTTTATTTCTGTATTTTTCTGTATTTATTTCTGTGCTGGACTGTAATGATTACCTTTTCTTTAGGTAATAAACAAATACATACAAAAGACTTGAAATTTCCAGCCTGTTATCAAATGAGAATAGATTTAGATGACCCACTGAATGTTGTTGCAGTTCCATTCTGTATAAAGAATTTAACTGATTTTCCCAATCAGTAATGCAGTTGTTGATTATGTCCTTCAAATTTTGAAAATTCATTCTAAGAGTGATCTTCATGTGATAATTTTCTATTAAATACAAATTCACACACAAACTGAGCAGGCAAGAGGGAGGGAGGGAGGGAGGGAGGGAGGGAGGGAGGGAGGAAGGAAGGAAGGAAGGAAGGA